CATGTGGAATATAGGTCCAATACAAACACATGCAGTATTACATATACAAAGAAATATGTACAGAGCACGTATCCAAAGGTGGGACTGGTAGAGGAGACCAAGGGAGGAGGAGACGGGGAAGAGAGTGACTAGTAACGAGGTTACATCACATCTGAGCAGGAAGAAAACACAGGAAACGCGCTGGAAGCTCCTGAACAACACAGGAGGGGGAAGGGGGAGGGAGTGCAGTGGAGGTGACATTGGCTTAAACACTAGGCACGTGCAGGTTTAATACCAAGGCCAAAATCCCACTGAACAACGAACAGACACCTAAACAACGAAGGACAAGAATGAAAAACAGGTTACACTAAGGGGAGGTCACTAACGGAAGAGGGAGGGTAAAAGGAGGAAGCTAAGAAGGTGAACATGGGTGATGTGTTTTCTATACAAGAATGAATATAGAACACTTAAACCTGTTGAAATCACCGTAAGAAGGGACTAACGTAGAAAGGAGAAAAATAAAGGGGATGAACCAATTTGGGATACAATACACATGTACCTGGAAATGTCATAATGAAACTCTCTATAGAGATAACTTAAGCAAACAAAAATGTCTTTTTTTTCTCAAAAACTGAGAACAGGAAAGTAAATCAGGTCCTGTCTGGGGCTGGTAAAAGTGATGGGGGGACATAAGGAAAGCGTGAAATGAGATCCTCCCAATCTCCACCTACCAAGTAGCTAGGATTACAGGCGGGAGCCACTGCGCCTTGCCTCAAAGGATCTTAAGCCTGGGGAGGTGATGATAGTGTAACATATCTTTATTTAGAGCTTACATGTTTTAATATTCTTTTCTATTCCCAACTTTTTTTTAAATTTCACTTATTGTATTCAGTTTATTACAGCAGATGATGACTGGTAAATAGGTGATTTTTTTTCTTTTATTCATATGTGAATACAATGTTTGGATCATTTCTCCTCCCTGCCCCCACCCCCTCCCTTACCACCCACTCCGCCCCCTCCCTCTCCCCCCCACCCCCTCAATACCCAGCAGAAACTATTTTGCCCTTATCTCTAATTTTGTTGTAGAGAGAGTATAAGCAATAGGAAGGAACAAGGGTTTTTGCTGGTTGAGATAAGAATAGCTATACAGGGCATTGACTCACATTAATTTCCTGTGCGTGTGTGTTACCTTCTAGGTTAATTCTTTTTGATCTCACCTTTTCTCTAGTTCCTGGTCCCCTTTTCCTATTGGCCTCAGTTGCTTTTAAGGTATCTGCTTTAGTTTCTCTGCATTGAGGGCAACAAATGCTAATTTTTTAGGTCTCTTACCTATCCTCACCCCTCCCTTGTGTGCTCTCGCTTTTATCATGTGCTCATAGTCCAATCCCATTGTTGTGTTTGCCCTTGATCTAATGTCCACATATGAGGGAGAACATACGATTTTTGGTCTTTTGGGCCAGGCTAACCTCACTCAGAATGATGTTCTCCAATTCCATCCATTTAACAGCGAATGATGACATTTTGTTCTTCTTCGTGGCTGCATAAAATTCCATTGTGTATAGATACCACATTTTCTTAATCCATTCGTCAGTGGTGGGGCATCTTGGCTGTTTCCATAACTTGGCTATTGTGAATAGTGCCGCAATAAACATGGGTGTGCAGGTGCCTCTGGAGTAACCTGTGTCACAGTCTTTTGGGTATATCCCCAAGAGTGGTATTGCTGGATCAAATGGTAGATCGATGTCTAGCTTTTTAAGTAGCCTCCAAATTTTTTTCCAGAGTGGTTGTACTAGTTTACATTCCCACCAGCAGTGTAAGAGGGTTCCTTTTTCCCCGCATCCTCGCCAACACCTGTTGTTGGTGGTGTTGCTGATGATGGCTATTCTAACGGGTGAGGTAGAATCTTAGCGTGGTTTTAATTTGCATTTCCTTTATTGCTAGAGATGGTGAGCATTTTTTCGTGTGTTTTTTGGCCATTAGAATTTCTTCTTTTGAGAAAGTTCTGTTTAGTTCACTTGCCCATTTCTTTATTGGTTCATTAGTTTTGGGAGAATTTAGTTTTTTGAGTTTCCTATATATTCTGGTTATCAGTCCTTTGTCTGATGTGTAGCAGGCAAATATTTTCTCCCACTTTGTGGGTGTTCTCTTCCGTTTAGAGACCATTTCTTTTGTTGAGCAAAAACTACTCCCAACATTGATAAAAACAATTTTTAAAAAGACACAGGAAGAGAGTTTAGAGAACATGAAGGTACAATGACTCCCTCACCTTAGCCACAGGACTGGCAAAAACCTACACCATTCACTGTATTTAAGATTGGACTCTGGTGAAAGCAGTCCTGAGTGCTGATAGGATGCCAAACTCACAAGCAGAAAAGCTGATCCACTGAAAACACCGGGCCCAGTGACAGGACTGATAGCTGGCATGGGATCTCATGGCGTGTGGTCACGCTCAGCGGGCGGTCACCTGCAAATTGTGCTATTTCTGACTTAGGTGCCTCTCGCCTTCTGCCACTCCCCAACCCACTCTGTCACTGTTCTTTCAAAAAAATGTTCTTAGCTTCTTCCTCTTGGGTTTGTGACAAATTTGGGCAGGTTAGATCTCCTGAGAAGCAAGACCACTGTCCTGTGCCCTCCCTCTCTCCTTCCCACGAAGAGCAGCAAGGATAGCACTGTGACCTCCCTTTGGTGTTTCTGTGTTGGTCAAAAAGTGAACCAAAACATCTCTCTTGATAGAAGCTAATGTTACTGGTATTTAGCTGCCCTGCACTATTAAATTTGGGTATTAAACAAAATCAGGGCTGAAGGTATGACTCAAACAGTAGAGAGCCTACCTAGCAAGTCCAAGGCCCTGAGTTCAAACCCCAGTACTGCCAAAAAAAATTTAAAAAGAGGAAGTTAAAAAAATACTGGCTTCCCACAGGCTGTGCTCTTATACTGACTGCAGAGAGAGAAAGTAAACCCGCCCCATACACCTCGAGCAGGGCCTGTGCCTGTACTGTGAGTGAAGAGACAGGGGGTAGGAAGGAAGTCACATAGCTCTGACATTGCAACGCCACTGCAGGAGTTCACCCCACAGGCCCCGTAAGAGATCAACACCCCAGAAACTTCTCCTGACACTTGTTAATTGGTGATATCTCATGTATCACCATCCTGCTCCCTGTAAGAGGCATCCATGGCCTGGTGGGAAACTATAGTGTGGCTGTTTTCAGTTACACATTCCTCGATATGACCTAATCATGCTGGGAAGGGCCCAAGAAGCCCAATTAAGGAACGGCCTCTGGCCCTCAAGCACGTACAGCATCACCAGAAAGAAGAGGACCTTCTATTAGAAGAAAATGACAAGCAAGGTGCACTGCAGCAGAGCAGAGTCTACACACAGTTGACAAGTCAGTCGTCCTGACATTACTGTAGAAGTGTAGATGAGGAAAGAGAACACCACCTACACAGGTGGTGGGGGAGGCTTTGTGAGCCTCACAGGCCTGGCTGGGGGTGAGGGGGACCCTCACATCCAGCCCCCTCATCCCAAGCACCGAGAGACACCAGGCCAGGGAGAAGAGCCCAGCTCCACATACACTCTACCCTTGTGGTGTCAGCGGGAGCACGGGAACCCATGCATGAGTGACAGACTTGTGAGTGTGCAAAGGCCACCCTGCTTGGTGTCGAATTTGTGACAGAACTGGGATGAGGGGAGCTCTAGGTGTATTTTAAGTCAACCATGTATCTGTTTTCATTTAAAGCTATAACACTTATTTTTAAATATACAATTTTAGCAAACCTATTTTTCAAATATTTACAAAATATTTAAACGCAATCAAGATCCTATATCACCTGTGACTGTACAGAAGAGGTGGCAGCACCAGGAGTCCCAGCTCTGGGGCACCATGGGTGTGGCACTTTCCTGCTGTTCTATACCTTCCAAGTTAGATTGTTAAAAAGCCTAGAATTACTTTTGTTTTCTCAGGTTTTGCTTTTATAATTTCAAGAAAGATTTTAAAAGCACATCCATCAATACTCACGATCACATGTCCTCTTGAGAGAATCCTGAGAAGCTATGAGAGTGCAACCTTTGGGAAACTGGGTGACAAGACAGTGGGGATGGGCAGACAGACTTACTGCATCCCTTTCTGTGTCTGTTTAGTTATTATGTATTTAAAATCAAATAGTTTTTGAAAACCATAATGAAGTGATACACAAAGGACGTTCATATTTTCACCAACCACTGGCAGGTGTGGAATGAGCTGGCCGCTGTGAACTGAGAGCAGGAGAGGTAGCCCCACTTCTCCTATGGTGTCACCAAGGGCACATGTCCCCAGGTCAGAAGGGTCTGCAGAGGTGGGGAGCTGGCTCTGACTCATGGTCCATACTGCTCCTGGATACCATGCTGACTGCCCAAGGACCAGGGTGTAACCTGTCACTTAGCTGTGGCTCAGTGGATAGGGAGTTGGGCACCTGCCCCTCAAGGGCTAGATTTTATGGCGGGGACCTGGTTCTGTAGCTCACACCTCCTCCTGGGGTGGCTTCTCACCCTTTATGAGGAAGAAATGCAGGTGGCAGTGTCTGGGCCTCCTTGTGCTGTTTACTATAAATCCCGCCATACTCCATTCTGTGCCCTTTATAAAGTAAAGCCAAGTAAGCTGGATGCTGCCAGGTCTGCAGTGTCGTGAGCTTACAAAGTGAAGCCTTAAGCCCAACCCTGGTGGTCCCCATAGGACAGTAAGTCACAGGACCACAGCATTTTGTCCTCTCAAAGTACAATTAGTTGACATGGTAATGAGCTACTTACTAGATCATTAGGGAACACAGAACACAAACACGATCTTTCAAAAACTAGCAACACACCTGGGCTCTGGTGGCTCACGCCTATAATCCTAGCCACTCAGGAGACAGAGATCAGGAAGACTGTGGTTCCAAGCCAGCCCAGGCAAATAGTTCACGAGACCCTGTCTCGAAAAACCCTTCACAAAAAAGGGCTGGTGGAGTGGCTCAAGGTGTAGGCCCTGAGTTCAAACCCCAGTACCACAAAAAAAAAAACAACAACAACTAGCAATAGGATTTAGCTTTACTGTGCTATGGGTATAGAGTTAAGTGCCAAAGCTTCTAGCCACTCATCAGTCATAGACTGCTCACAGCAAATCAGTCACCGTGGGGAAGGAAGTCACTCAGCACGTGCAAACATTTTAATTAGAAAAGGTGCTTAAAAACAGATTTTGCAGAATTTTACTTTCCAGGCCACACATCAGCCGCATTGGTTTAATGAGATTGCCTAGTTTGTTTTTAACTTCTTTTCATTCTACAGATAGAGATATGAAATAATTACAAAACACACTTCATTAGAAACTCTTCAAATATAAAACAATTCAAGCACAAAGCAATGCATTACAGTCTGAGGAAGGCATTCATAAAATACTGTGAAGAAATTTAACAGGTTCAAACATGTAGCACTGCTTCTCCATTCTTATTCATCCCACACAATCGCCTGCCTAGCAATGGCGCTGAAAACAGAGGGAGAAAGGCCAAGTGATGCCAGCTAGTGTTTTGCTTCCAGATGGACCATCTAAGATTGAAATCAAGTTCCCAAATTCTGGTTTAGTATTAAAATTTAGTTACTCCCTAAACTGGGTTAAAAACTGCACTAAGTCTTTAAAGTACTTAAGTTGTTAGAAACTTTTGACCTTCCAAGGCGGCAATACCCAAAATATGTCAAGAGCACGAATCAGGAGCAGCACCTGTGGACGGCCCAGGACAGTTCATGTTTCTTTAAGTCTGGGGTTATGCTGCTTGGAACATGTGTGCCATATACGGGCCTTTCTGACTCACAGATAAATGCAGAAATTATGATTCTTATAAGAATCTCACATGAAGCCCAAGTACAAACACATCCAACAACAAAAAATAACTTACGTACATCTGTAGGGGTTTTTTGTTAAGTGTAAATCAGATTTTTAACCTAATAAGAGAAAATCCGTTTTTAAAAAGTCCCAAAGCTGTGTTCATCTTCCTTTTCAGCTGAAAGGGTGAAGTACAATAGCCACAACTTTGTTACAGACTAAAATCCAACAGGTAATTCCAACACCACCTGAAAAAAAAGAAATCCAACGTAAGAGAGCGCTGATAGCACTGCCCGAGAGGAAATAAGGTTTTAATTCCTGCTGAGCAGTGCTGGGCTAAGAAAGACTAAGTTCCTGTTTCACTGGTTAAGTCTGTAACTTTTCTAGATCCACAGGGCTGCATAGTTACCAAACAGGAGCACACCCAACAATGGACGCTGGTTTGAATTTCTTTTTTGTGCCAGAGAAATGTATTACTATGTATGATAACAAACTATAATACTACCCTGGCCAGGAGCTGGTAGCTGACGCCTGTAATCCTAGCTACTCAGGAGGCAGAAATCAGGAGGATTCTGGTTCGAACCCAGCCTAGGCAAATAGTTCACGAGAGTCTACTCAAAAAACCTATCACAAAAAAGGGCTGCAGAGTGGCTCAAGTGGTAAAGTGCCTGCCTAGCAAGTGTGAGGCCAAGTTCAAACCCCAGTACTGCCAAAAGGAAAGGACCCACCCCCCACCTTGTATGGTTATTTATTTTTCCTTCTTCAAGAGAGCACTGTAGACGAAGCAATGATCACCCAAGCCTAAGGGAGAGGCACAGTACCCATTCCCCACCCCATGCTGCATGAGGCCAGTGGGCCCTGCAGGAGGCCTAGCCAGCCAGCACAGGAGGTCCTGGCCTGAGCCTAGCAAAGCGGAGGAAAGGGAGAATGGGACAGAGGGTATGGCTGAATTGGGAGTGCCGGAAGAGTCATTCCTTTTGATACAGTAACTCACTCAGCATAATCGCAAATCATAACCAGAGGCTGACTGACAAGGAAGGCTCCCTGCTGCAGCATTATTTTCAAGAGCAAACACTCAAGACCTCATAAATATGTTTTCATGGGAAAACTAGCGAATTAACACATGGCCAAACGAAGAATACGCTTGCCCCCAGATTCAGGAGGCAGCGTCTAACTGTCTTCAGGTCATGATGACAGTCCTTACAAAAGAGGCCTGAGAGGTCAGTCATTCTTGACCTCCCTTTCTAAGATGACCCACTTTCAGTCTACTGAAAGTGTATTCAGTCCTAATGAACTTTACTATCACTTTAACTTTAAAAAAAAAAGCCCTGAGGGAGGGCTTCCAAAAAATGTGCTCTCCTCAGACACTGCACTTCCCATCCCTCAAGAAACAGACTGATGTGAGAAACAGACTTGTGTTGTTTATAAGCTACACAGCTTATGGTATTTTGTTATAGCAGCCTGAGCAGACTAAGACATATGGGAATGAGCTTGCCGTATGAAGTAAAGAGGGTATAAAATGTATGTGCCAGGTGACCTTAACTATATCAAAACAAATGGGGAAAAGACAGGACAAAAACACCACACTCTAAGAGGGAAGAGCCATAACTAACAGGACTGTAAAAAACCCTTCCTCTACTTCTGATCATTCTGCAATGAAATGAACCACCTTTGACTTCCAAAAGAGGCTTTCAAAAATAAAACAACATCCAGCCACCATAGGACCAGAAAGACACAGTGACTGGGGATCAGACCGAAGCCCTCCTGGCTCTTGCTCTGCTCCTCACACCCTGCTGACCCTGGACAGGCTTAGTAGCCTCTCTAGACTTTGTGCAGCTCGCTAACTGGATGGTGAAGATGAGGTCAGGTGACTTAGTGTTCCATCACATATAGTCCTCCTTTGTACTTTCCAGAAAGTTCTTACCTGCCACTCTGGTTGGAAAGGCTACGAGGCGGTCTAGTGGGGTGATCCATTTACTCGGCACAACAGCCACAGGGACAGAATAATACTTCCAAATGAGCGAGATCATCAAGGCAGCCTGGAAAGACACTTGTGGTGAGTCACACAAACATAACCACAGAAAAAAGGTGGGCGTTGTACAAAACACCTAAGGAAGCTCCAGACTGAGCCCGAGAGAAGCGCAAATCCAGTGCTCACAGCCACTGATCTCCAGCCAGGAACCTTGGAACAGATGAGTTCATGAGCACATCTGAAACACACTGCAGGCAAGCAGGCGGACCACCTTATGGGAACTGGCTTTTCCCTGCTTTCATATGAGCACCACATATTCACTATTTAAGTTAGCTGGTACACTAACCAGTCCTCCCAGCACATAGGGATTTCATCGCTCCTTTAAATAGCTAAAGGACTATATGTAAAGTATACCTTCTCAGCGACAAAAGCAATCATGCCCCTCTACAATCCTTGAAAACTTAGCTAACCCTCACATTGCATACACCTGTCAGTGTTAGTGTGCACAAGCAAAGGCAAGCCTGCTGTACACCAGTGTCTGTGCACACATGCAGAAGCCTGCTGTACACCAGTGTCTGCATACGCATGCAGAGACAAGCCTGCTGTACACCAATGTCTGTGTATGTGTGCAGAAGCCTGCTATATACCGGTGTCTGTGTATGCATGCAGAGGCAAGCCTGCTGTACACGGGTGTCTGTGTACGAGTGCACAGGCAAGCCTGCTGTACATGCGTGTCTGTGTATATGTGCAGAGGCAAGCCTGCTGTACACTGGTGTCTGTGCACATGTGCAGAAGTCTGCTGTATACCAGTACTGTGTACACGTGCAGAGGCAAGCCTGCTGTACACGGGTGTCTGTGTACACGTGCAGAGGCAAGCCTGCTGTACACGGGTGTCTGTGTACACATGCAGAGGCAAGCCTGCTCTACACAGGTGTCTGTGTACACATGCAGAGACAAGCCTGCTGTACACGGCTGTCTGTGTACACGTGCAGAGGCAAGCCTGCTCTACACGGGTGTCTGTGTACAAGTGCACAGGCAAGCCTGCTATACATGGGTGTCTGTGTATATGTGCAGAGGCAAGCCTGCTGTACACGGGTGTCTGTGTACACATGCAGAGGCAAGCCTGCTGTACACGGCTGTCTGTGTACACGTGCAGAGGCAAGCCTGCTCTACACGGGTGTCTGTGTACACGTGCAGAGGCAAGCCTGCTCTACACGGGTGTCTGTGTACACATGCAGAGGCAAGCCTGCTCTACACGGGTGTCTGTGTACATGTGCAGAGGCAAGCCTGCTGTAAGTCCCAGTGGTAGGTGGAGCACTGATGCTTCATTTTTCATCCTTTCCCCGCAGCAATCCTTCAGTGGTCTTCTGTCCCATTTGTGCCCTGGAGTACACTGCTCAAATGAGCAGACCTAAAGAGCATCTGGACAATCCCCGTGTCTCTGAGAGGCCCATCTCATGCTAATGACTGTGCCTCAGGACCAGTGACACCCCCACCCAGCCTGCCAAGCCTGGACTGTATGTGGGGAAGACAAGGAGCTGGCCTGAATCTTCTGTCAACTCAAGAAAGTCCACTACAGCACTAAAACTCCAGCATCACTCAAGGCAGCTGCTCAAGTGTGCAAGGCCAACACACTTGTCAGCATACATCCATGGTCTCCCATGAGCAGCAGCTCCACGGGAAGGAAGATGAGCAGAGACATACCCCCACCCCCACGTCAGAAAGCTAGGAGCTGCATTCATGAGAAAAACTGGTTCCCAACCTGGAGGGTGGAGTGCTGCTTACACACACCAGGGAGCAAGTGAAGGCAAAATCACTGACCATCTCAGGATCACAGGGCAGAGCATCCTGAGCCCACTGCCAATGCCAACGGCCCCAGGTGACACTACAGGACACTTACTTGCAATACATAGAAAGCGACGCTCATAACCCACTTTATCTTGGCCAACTGAGCTGTCCGTGCTTTTACTGCAAGGAAAAATGGTGGAACATGATCAGTCCCGAAAAACTGAGAAAATACTGAAATACACAGAAACGCTATTTTCCTTATAAAATACTTTCTAACTATAAATGGAACAACATGTTTATACGATACAAAACAGAATTTTTAAAAGTCTGCCATCTTACACCATAATTTAAAATAGAATCTGATAGTGAGACCTGAATACCCCTTAGAAGTATTCCTCCAAATCAGAGACTGTTTTTATAATGAATCTACCGCCTATCAACAGGACTAAATTTTCTTCCCTATTTCCCAGTCTACACAGTGCATGAATCCCAAGCTTGTCCTGGGCTGTCCTCCCGACAGAAGACTGCTGTGACATCTGCATCCGATGAGGACACAGCAGGCACTTCCCAGAGAGTGGAAGAAAGTACCCTAGGAAGCACTGTGAGATCTTTTCCTGGGCTCCCCTCAGGAAAGTGCTCAACTTGAAAATGAAAACCTACAATGACAAGTTGGCTCTGAAGAAAATCTAAGGAGATCCCTAGCTGTTTCCTGAGTCTAGAAAGCAAAGGTCTATCAGCCACTAAGGATAAAGTAATAATAACTCCTGGGAGTCTTGTGGACAATTTGAAAGTTTCTATCAGCATTTAGCACATCCAAGAAGAACTCCAAAGTCCCCTCTGTTAATGCTCCTCCTTTGCACTTTCCAGGCCAGGCCTGAGAGCAGCACCATGGGTTTTGAGCTTATCCGTCATCTTGTTGATCTTCCTTTCCAGCCTGGCGTATCTGGCGAACTCGTCCATCATGTTGACAGTGGAGAGCTCCTGCTTCATGCCCTGGATCTCTGCTCTCATCTGCGACTCCTGCTCTGCATCCTGCTGCAGCACCCTGGACACCTGGCAGGGGAGGCAGCAGCATCAGTGTCGTTCATGGGTCCCCGCACACCTGTGCTCTGACTGAGGAGCACAACGTGCCTCAATCACTGGGACCAGCCAGCTGCACACTGTCCCTGCATGACAATGAACATAAGTCAGGGCTCTGAACATTCCCAGGTTGTTGCTGGAAAACACGGAGATTGGCCCCACTGCTGCACAGGTGGAAGCCAACCCCACCAGCCAAACTCCTAAACCCCCGCACAAACACCATAACCAACCCCTTATGGAGGACACACCTGTCTTCACGAGGGCTGCTGCAGTGGTCTATGGTCAAGCTGCCCCAAGCTTCTTTTCCTGGAATCCCAACCAGCCCCATTCCAGAGGGTTTGGGGCAGTCCCTTGAGGGACCTCTGCCACCATTATTGAAGCAACTCCAACCAGGAGTTGGCTGCACAGAACAGGTGCACCTCTTTTCCCCAACAACCCACCGACACCCTTTTCCAGCTACCCTTGACCTACACAGCCAGGCTCTGTGGCCTTTCCTGCTCCCTACAGTGACCACAGAGATGACCCCAAACTCCTTCTCATTCACACTGTATTTAGCAGATACGCCCATGGACTGCTCCCGTGCAAACAAATCTCTCACTATAACTGGACAATTGCAATTATAAGATGAAAACCAACTCTATTCCAGAACTGTCATTCAAGTGAAAGGGACCATGAAACCCACCCCCATCCCCACTTCCTGGAGACCTCAACTCCAGATTAGCTGGGACAGAGTAAGGTGGCAGTGAGGGTGCGAGGGCTGTGGTGGTGACCCGGAACAGGAGTCAGAGCCCAGAGAGGACGGACATCCTGGCAAGGGAAGCTAGGTCCAGGCATTGTGATACAGGGTCCTCAAGAGAGGGCAGCCAGACTCAGGATTCAGAGTCTAAACAAGATGAAGGTGAACTGATATCCAGGGGCAAAACGGGCATTCACCTGGGTGGGGGGCAGAGGAGAGGGGAGATTAGACATGAAGGATGACCATATAAACGTGCTAAGAATAATGGGTGCCCAGGAAGGGCTAGGCGGAATCTGCACTCTGTGTGCAGAGTGTACGCGGCGTCAGCACTGCAAGCACAGATGTGCACTCTGCACTCATGGCTTCTAAAATGGAAATGGAGGTGAAAATGTTTTCAGAGAAGTACCTTCCTGGGGTAAGCCTGGTGTCCCTGCTAGTGGAGGAGACCTGTGTGCACTGGTGGCCTGCCTCCTTCTCCAGTAGGCTGCAGGTAGATACCCAACCCACACAATGCCAGAGAACCCAGGAACTCAGGGAACGACAGTGCCACCAGATGGCGCCCACCAACTGTCTGAGCCAGGCCTGGGTTCCAGGACTGCAGAATCACCGGGGTGAGGAGCCCCAGGGACAGAGGCCCAGGCCAGGGGCAGCCGGCCTCCAGCGACCTACCCCAAGTAACCAGCGACCAAATGAAGGTCTTTGCCAGTGAGAGCCCAGCATCACTCCTGCGATACCCAGGCCAAACCCAGGCACCAGTGAGCAGCAGCACTGCCGTGCTTACCAAGAAATGACAGAACTTCCTCCACACTGATGGAGACAACAGGGACGTGATAAACACGTGCAATGCACGATTCTGAGCCGGGCTTTTGGGTATAAAGGACCTTATTAGAACAAGTGGAAAGCCTGAAAACTTGAGACTGGACACCAGATGGCTGTGCTGTGGTCACAGCAACTGTTCAACACCACTGCACTGGACTGAGCAGGATCAGGCTGCCAGGTTACTTCCAAGGCTCAGGAAACAAACCGGCTTTGGACGGCATGCACAGCTTTTCTATAGTTTGTGTTGGCTTCAAAACTTTAAACATAGATTGTTTTAAAAGATGAAAAGGGACAGTGTATCCAAGGTGCACCTGGCACAGAGCAAGTGCACAATAAGGGCATTTGTCTCCCCTCCCCCTCACAGAGTCCCTCTGCCTGCCACATAGCAGGGTAACTCCAGTTAGAAGATGGCAAAGCTTCTATAGGCCTTGCACAAGGGAGCAGGGCGTCTACAAACCGAGTCCTCTCTCCATAATGCCCCTGCCTTGGCCTGCCACTACGTACCTCTCTAGCTAGAGGAGATACAGTCCAGCCTGATCCACGCTGAGAAGAAAACAAGAAGGGCCGAATTCTCGAAAAATCACAGGATAACCTATTTATAGATACTTAAATTAAGAAACAAGTACAAGTCAGGCATGATGGTGTATACCTGCAATCCCAGCACTTGGGAGGCTGAGGCGGGAGAATTCGAGTTCAAGGCCAGATTGGGCAACAGCAGAAAGGAAGGAAGGAAGGAACAGAGGCAGGGAGAAAAAGGAAAAAAAGAGAAAGAAAAGGGGCTGGAGGCATGGCTCAAGTGGTGGAGCACCTGCTTAGCAAGCAAGAAGCCCTGAGTTCAAACCCCAATACTGCCAAAAAAATAAAAGAGGCTGAGGGCATAGCTCAGTGGTAGGGCACTTGCCTAGCACGCAGAAGACCCTGAGTTCTATCTTTGCACCATTAAAAAAATAAAGAGCTGGGTGCCAGTGGCTCATGCTTGTAATACTATCTCAAAAATACCCAACAGGGCTGGTGGAATAGTTCAAGTTGTAGAGTGCCTGCCTAGCAAGCATGAGGCGCTGAGTTTGAACCCCAGTACCGCCAAAACACATTAACTTAATAAATAAATAAAAAGAAGACATATGCCTGTGGCGGCACAGGACTATAATTCTAGCTCGAGGCGGAGAGAGGCCCAAGGCCTGCCCAGACAAAAGCACGAAACCCTGTGAGAAAAACAACTAAAAGCAAAAGGACTGGGGGTGTGGCTCCCGTGGAAAAGTGAGATCCTAGTCCAATCCCCAGTACTGGCAAAAATAAATAAAATAAAAATACAGGTACAAAGGCATCAATTCTCATTGCAGAGAACACCTGAAACAAAAACTAAAAAGGAGCCCTGCCTAGCAAATGCAAGGCCTGAGTTCAAATCCCAGTGCCACCAAAAAAGAAAAGAAAACCCTGAAAAGTCAAAGAGAGTTACTGAGGAGGGGAAGGTAGTGGGGAAGGACAGCAAGCCTGCACTGCTGGAACTGGAGGCAGTGTTGAGGTTCAGCCAGACACTCTGCTGCTTGAACAAAGTCTCACATCTCTAAGTACATAAAAAAGTGCCTAAACTAAAAAATAAGTACCAACGTTATCCAAGAACTAAGTATATGTGACTGCTAAAATGCTCTAGAATTATGAAGCCGATGGTAGGATTTGATGAGGTTTGAACGTAAATGATTCACATATTAACCTTTGGCAGAAAGGCAGCTCTGAAGCCCGTTTATGTACTCAAAGTCACCTTCTAAAGTACCTGCAAACAGGTAAGCCAGACAGGGGTGCCTTCACAGCCTGGAGATGGGTCCACAAGAACTCCGACACTGAGTTCATAAATTGCTCATGGAGGTGACGCGTGCAGAGAGCAATCCGACACCAGGCAGACCCAGGCCAGGCTAGGCTGGGCTGGACCATGCCACAATGGCAGGTCCCTCGGATCCCATCCAGTGGGAACTCGCTTCCGACAAAGGGTCATGTGAACCATCAGTCACTGACAGCTTCAAGGCCAGATGTATCTGAAGAGCACTTGGTGGAAGGATGGCAGGTAGAGCCCAGTGGTCCCTGCTGGAATTGAGGGCAAGTTCAGGAAGGTCCGAGTCAGGTGACCAGCTGCATGCTCCTGGACATGGGACAAACTCAGAACCCTGAACAGCCTCCTAGCCAGCACCGCCCCCATTGCCAGGGACACCCCAGCTCGCTATGGTGGTCATCCTACATGAGGACCACAAGCCCAGCATCACAGGGGCTCACTGATGCCCGCAGGAATGTGGATGCCTGGAGCAGGTCCTGCAGATCTGAGTCTCCCCAGTCCCCTGGAGGGAAAGAAGATGGTAGGCTTGCAGCAAAAAGTGGAGGATGGATAGATAGAGAGTGTTAAATCTAAGAGGGGGACAGCCCTACGAGCCAGACCCCTGCACTGAGCCCGGATTGTCTGCAGGCCACCATGCGGGGCTGTGCACCGGCCTCGCATGCACCTGCCTAGGGCCCGTGCTCTTCAAATGGGCCTTGTACCCTCTTCCTATAGCTTAAGTCCTAGATCCCCAACTCAACGAACCAAGTGGACTTTCTCCTCTCTGCATGCTGCAACCAGTTTGAAGAGAAGAGAGGGGCCCCTCTGGAGAACTCCAACCACGCAGTACAGGGACAGAGTGCCCTTTCCCAGGCATCTGATCCCACTCCAGCAGCAGGCCAAGGCCCTGTCCCAGCCCATCAACGGCCAAAGGGACCATGCTTCTCCAGCTTCTGGACAGAAACTTCTTACAGAGCACGATCCTGATCCTGAGCACCTGAATTCCCAATCCAGTTTCCTGGTCAGAAGTCTTGTACAACTGGATTACAGAGACATTTCTCCAAAGAAGATACAGACATAGTGAAGATACAGGTATAAACAAACTAGGTTTTTCCTGCATCCATTCAACACAGATTGCTTCTGGGAGCCCAAAATGTGTGGGAATTTCCCTCCACATTGAATGACAACAGACACCAACTAGGTGTCCTGTAATTCATCTCAGCTCTAATAGCATCTGACACAGCATCAGAGCCCACAGGTTGAGGGATCAGACCCACAAGACAATCCCCACTTCAAAGTGTGAAGTGATGGCCTCTGGAATTTCTGACAGACCACCTACAAAGGGGAGTTCCCAGGGTCCACTAAAACTCCAGTAAATTACTACTCCAGCTCACAGAACTCAGGGAAACATTCACTTACATTTCCTGGTTTTTTACAAAGGCCATTTCAAAGGACAATAAACTAAATGAAGAAACACATAGGACAAGGTCTACCAGGGTTCTGAGCGTGGGCTCCCCTCCACTACACGGATGAATTCCAGCCTCACAGTTCAGCTGGGCCAAGTTCTCTAACCCTGTCCTTCGGAAGGTGTTATGCAGGCTTCATTACAGAGGTATGACAGAAGCATGGACGTCCACAGAGATGTGATTGTCCTAATACACTGATGGGGGTATCCAGCAGGGCCTGTTGGTTTAGATTCTTCTTGGGCTTTCTGTGTGGCATTCATTCCTCCCAAGTATGGCTCAGAATCCCTTCTGAAGTAGGGGTCTTATGATCCACTAAGCAAAGTCAGGCCAGACAAATTCCTTTTAGCCAGCTCCAGACAGAAAGGCAGTGGAAGATTATATTTTTAGTTCCTATGACCTGCAGTGAAAAGAAATTCTAGTTTCTATGGCCTGCTGTGGGGAGAAAAAGGAGCAGGTCCAAAGAGGATAGGAGAAAATCAGAGTCAGACTTTGATTTCTGAGGTCTAATGTACCCCAAGCTTATAACAAAACACTGCTTTTCATCTTTACTGACATTCCAAAATAGCATGAGCTCTGGAAATTGTGATCCAGAACCATGACAAAACCAAAATATATAAACTGTAATATCACAGATCCCCATAAATGCATGAAAAGATAACCAACATAACTAATTATTAGAGAATGTAAACCAAAACTACAAGGAGACACCACTTTGCACCTATTAGGATGACTACTGTAAAATGAAACCATCAAATAACAAGCATTAGAGGCTGTGAAGTAACTGGATCCTTACGCATTGCTGCCGGGAATGCAAAATGTCACAGTCACTGTACAAAACAGATCGGGGGCTACCACAGGATCCAGGAGCCCCACTTGTGGGTGTATATCCAAAAGAACTGAAAGGAAGAACTCAGGTATTTGTATACCAATTTCTAGCAGCTTTATTTATGATAATCAAAAAATGGAAACAACCCAAGAGTCCATCAGTGTAGGAATGTATAAAAATGTGGTACCTACATTTGGATATTATCCAGTTTTTAAAAAGGAAGGAAATTTTGATACATGCTACAACACGGATGAGCCTTGAAGACATTATGCTAAGTGAAGTGAGACATAACAGGACAAAAACAGTGTGATTCCACTTACATGAGGCTCCAGAGGAGTCCTATCCCTAGAGATAGAAAGCGGAACAGTGACTGTCACTGCCAGAGGCGGAGGGAGGGCAGACATGTTGAGTTACTCCGTAATGGGTACAGAGTTTCAGCTGGGAAATATGAAAAGGTTCTGGGATGGCGAAGGTTGCATGACAACGTAACTGTACTTTATGCCTCTGAACTGCACACCAAAGATGATAAATTCTGTGTCACTTGTATTTCACAATAATCAAAGAAAGGTGGGCAGAGGCCAGGTCTTCAAGAGTCTTTTGTGCAATGCTAGGGACCTAGGACATCATCTTGAAGATCAGCATCAGGACAGATTCTGAATGGGGCACAGGGTTTAAAGAAAATCCTCTATACTTCAGAACAAGAGGGGTAACGCCCTAAAATAGAGTTCTGCACAATGAATGCTGGTACAATTAAGATATAAAGAAACATAAACATGGCACCAACAACAACTTGTATTAGGCAAGAAAAGCAAGAACTGTTTCTGATCTTCAGTGTCAGTCTGAACCAAAAAAACCCTAGCTTTAGCTGGGGGCATACAAAGGCGACCCCTGGTCTAGGTGGGCTGCAGATGTTCCCGCCCTCTCGTCCCATCTCACCCCCTGCAATCTGCAACCAAGTCCTATTCATGCTCCAGCAGGCAGGAGAACAGAACTAGAGGATCCACAAAGCAAGGATCAAGCCTCCACCCAACCATAGCTAGGTGGATGATTTAGCGCACATGCTAAATTCCGAGCCCCACTCCTCTAGGAAGTAAAGAATGACAGGATGCCAGCCATCACTCACAGCAGTCACCCGTGACACCTGGACACGAGGTCAGGTGCTCACGGCCGGGGCAAGATGCAGACAGAAAGAGTCTCTGCAGCGCCTGTCATTTCATAGGACACACTGTAGTGAGAATGTCCATCTACGCCTACCTTCCCGCCCCATTCATCCCAGAATTGGGCTCCTGTACCCTGGGATCGGTGGCTCGGGACCTGGCACCGCCGACCAGCCTGCCAGGAAACCTTGCCCCCAGCATCCAGGCTCGAGGTCCCCAGGGACCGGGGCTATGGAAAATGCGCTAGGCTGGCAGTGGGGAAGCTACCGCCACCCCAGCCAGAAGGGTCCAGCCACGTGAATGAATGAAGGGCCAAGGTGGGCCAGGTGTCCCCCGTGCGTCGCATGCTGAAGGCAGGGCCTTAGGTAAGCTAGGAATCATCTCAAAAAAAAAGCAGGGCGCTTCTGCGGCGGGCCTGGCCCCCGGCGACCCATTAGGGCCTCCAAGGCCGTGCCCTGAAGGCGTGCAGCCACTTACGAAGGACGAGAAAGATGGGAGGAGAATCCGGAGGATATTGCACCCGAACACGAAGCTCAGCACCAGCAGCCACGCCCCGCGGTCGGCCTCGGCCTCGATCATCCTCGCCACCCCGCGCCGCTACGGCAGCTCCATGGGGACCGCTCGGCGCTGCGCCTGCGCACTGAGCGCCCCGCCGGTGCGCCTCGCCCTTCCCGGCCGCCGTGCGCGCCGCCGCAGCCCGTGCGCGTGCGCACCTCTTCCGCGCCTGCGCACCTCTCTGCGCCTGCGCACGGCCGCGTTGCTGGTCAATCAGTACCTGCTTTAATTGACTAGTTTTGCTCCTAAATAAACTTGTTTTAAAATAGGTCTTAATGCAAGTAGGAAGCTACCTATGGTAGCAGGTAACTGAAAAGTGTTTCCTAAGCAGTTGTTATATATAAAAATGTCGTAAGTTTACATGTCAAAGCTGAACACTCAACATACAAAATTGCATATGGGCAAATAGTTCAGGAAATTCCCAATCTCCAAAATAAGCAGAGCAAACTGGACTGGGGGTGTGGCTCAAGTGGTAGAGTGCCTGCTTTGCAAGGTGAAGCCCTGAGTTTAAATCCCAGTCCCACACACAACAACAAATGGTAAGTTTACAATCCCAAGACAGTTTAGGGGCTAGGATGTAACTCAATGGTTCATAATCAGCCTGTAATTTAATAAATTTAGGGGAAATTATTCATTTATAGCTGTAGCAGGGAGGAGGATCAGAAGAAACAGTCTAGGCCTGAGTCCTGAGAAAGCAGCAGGGAGGTAGGGATGGCATAACAGAGAGAGAAAGCCTGAGAAATCTGAACATGAGGAAGGTCATGTAGCACCAGGGAGAGGAAAGTCATGTAGCACTAGGGTAAAGTATCCAATATAATTAATGTAACCATATAATCCTTGCTTTTTGCTTCTGTAACCTGCTTCCAAGGGTATATAAGGTGAAACCCCTTTGTTCTCAGGGGTCAGCCCTTGGACATGAGTCCGCTGAGTCTGCGCTGGCACAATAAAATGTTGCTTCCTGCTAATTACCTCAAGGAGTTCGATATCTCAGCTAGCAAACTCCTGCAACATGGTGAATAAAGTAAAAGATCTTTAGTTGTGTTTTCTGCCATGGCTGGATTCTGAGAACTAATTCCTAATCAAAATAATGCAGGGAGGGCTGGCAGAGTGGTTCAAGTGGTACAGCTGCCTACCTAGCAAGCGTGAGGCCCTGAGTTCAAACCCCCCCAGTACCGACAAAAAAAGAAAAATCAAAATAATGCAGGAAGCTATGGCTCTATAAATTTCTGTTCCAAGAAAACACGTGAAGCACCATTATCTCATAGCATTAAAGTGACTTCTTCCCATGAAAGGGCACATGGCCTGGTAGGTGACTGCAGAAGTGATCAGAACAAAACAAAGCTCATTTCCTCCCCCTCCTCCATCCCTTTCCCCTCCAGCTGCAGCCAGGCTCCAGGTTCTGGATCCTCCTCTCACGGGATGTTTAGCCAGATTGACAGGAGAAACTGCTTCCTGAAAAGTGATAGTAGTCCTCCCCTCAGCAGTACAGTCTCTGCTGCCTCTACCCCAAACTCCATCCATGGTCCCATCTCCCCAAGAAGAGGACCACTCCTTCCTGGTGAGGCAAGACTACCACAAAAAAACACATGGGAATGTCCTAGACAAGTAGCAGAGTTGGGAGGGGCTCAGCAGTCCCTGGCCTTCAGAATAACTCAGCTCTGTTGTTACTCCTTTTGGGCAACTCTCAAAAAGAAGCACTAACTGAAGGCTACTAATGCGTGGCGAGAAACTATGGAAGCCAGGACGTCTCAGTACAAGTCAATCGAGAGCCGGTACTGTTGGAAATGTAGGCCCCAAAATGACCACGTGGAGAGGAGTGATCTGGCCAAGAGATTCTTTATTGCCAGGTGGGAGAGGGAGAGAGCCAAAGGGGCTGGGGGGAAGGGGTTTAAATATCCCTCAGTGGGACTCAGCATGATCTGATCGGTTAGGATCTTATGGTTCATGCTGATTGGAGGTTGGGGCAGAAGGAGGATTCAAGCTAGACTTGAGGCAGGACTGTGACCCTGGGAAATGGAGGCTTAAGGGTGCAGTAAGAATCGAAACCTATCGGCGCCATTACTGCCAACAGGTACAGGTTGAAGTGCTAAGAGAAACTTATAACAAGACTGGGTTAGGCCTCAATTCTTCTGTAACAAAGTCCCACAGCTTCGGACTTAAAGTTAAATAAACATATCATCTTACTGTTCGGGAGCTCTGAAACCTGAACTGCATCTCCCTGGGCTACAAATCAGTGTTGGCAGGGCTGCCTTCCTTCTGGAACTGCTGAAGGAGTCAATTTCCTTGCCTTTTCCAACTTGTAAAAGTTGCCAACATTCCTGGTCCTGGGGCCCTCTTCCATCCTCGAACCACTCTGACCTCTGCCTCCATTTATCACATCTTTGCTGACTCTCCTGCCTCTCTCATTCACTCTAAACGACCCTTATGATTACATGTGAATAAGCCAGGATAATCTCCTACTTAGGGCTGGGGGTGTAGCTCAGTGGTAAAGTGCTTACCCAGCATGTGTGAAGGCCTGGGTTAGAACCCAGGGAAGGAAGAGAGGAAGGGAGAGAAACGAATCTTTAATGTAGTTGGGAGCATAGCTCAAGGTAGAGCACTTACCTAGCATGTGTGAGACCCAGGGTTCATTCTCCAGCAGCAAGTCATTTGGCTGTGCAGGGTCATGTATTCACAGGCTCTGGGAACTAGAATGTGGACTTTGGATGGGGGAGCAGTACCCTGCTCACCATAAAGACATTGTAAAAACCATTCAGATGGCTATGACACAAAGGCAAAAACAAAGGTGTCAGTAACTGGTGACTTCCAACCAAAGACGGTTGAGACTGACACCTTACCTCAGCTTCTCCAGGAATTTCACTTTGTAATCTCCTGGCCCATCTCCTAGAGTGCCACAAGTACCTAGGCATGGTTGGGTAACCTTGGAACCTGTCATCACTTATATTAACTAGAAGTTGTCTATCCACCTGAAGAGTGGATAGCTTTTTTTGGGGGTGTGTATGGGGGGAACAGGAGTTCCCTGTGTACCTCAGCCTGGTCAACAACTCGAGATCTTCCTGCCCCAGTCCTCAAGTTCTGGATGATAGGTATTTGCCACCATGCCTAGCTAGGAGAAAAGACATCTTGATGACCTCTTTTAGGTTAGAGAAAAGTGATTCTCCCCCTTAAAAAGGCAAAGTTGCAGGATGGAGGTGAGGGAGAATGGTGAAGAGGTATCCAACTAAGGTACACTGGAATCATATATAGAAATGTGACAATGAAATCCCCTTGTACAACTAATACATGCTAGTAAAAAGATTTTAAAAGAACAAGAAAAAGGTAAGTTTCTATTTCTCAAAGTTTTTTTAACTCTTTTGGGGGAGGGGGCAGTACTGGTGTTTGAACTCAGGGACTTAGTAGGCAGATGCTCTACTGCTCAAGTCATGCCCACAACCCTTTTCTGCTTCAGTTATTTTTTAGGTAGGATGTCATGTTTTTGCCCAGGGCTGGAGTCAGACCATCATCAATCCTCCTCCCTCCCACATAGCTGGCATAGCTGGAACCACAGATGTGCACACCACACTGAGCTTATTGGCTGAGTTGGGGTCCCCTTAACTTTTTGCCTGGGCTGGTCTGAAACCCCAATTCTCCTATCTCTACCTCTGAGTAGATGGGAATACAGGCATGAGACACCACACCTGGCCCATCCTACAGCTTTAAGACTTTGGCGTCAACTGTTACCAAAGCCAGTGAGGACCAGGGAGCTTTCCCAAAGAAAGAGGGCTCTACCTGGCCCCCAGGTGCTGGGTTCGTGATGTAACAAAAAATAATTTTAAGCCGGGTGCTGGTGGCTCATGCCTGTAATCCTAGGTACTGAGGAGGCAGAGATCAGGAGGATGGAGGTTCGAAGCCAGCCCAGTCAAATAGTTTGTGAGACCAGATATGGTTGCGGGCACACCTAAGCAGAAGTGGGCTGAGTGCTTTAACATCAAGAATATTTATGGTGGTGCCAAAAGAGTGGCTCAAGTGGTAGAGCGCCTGCCTAGCAAGCATGAGGCCCTAAGTTAGAACCCCAATACTGCCAAAAAAAAACCAAGAGCAGTACCAAAAGAGTATTGATGGTGAAGGCAGGCACCAGTGGTTCATACCTATAATCCTATACTCAGGAGGCAGAGATCAGGAAGATCACGGTTCGAAGTTAGCATGGGCAAATAATTCTTGAGACCCTACCTCGAAAAAACCCATCACCAAAAAGGGCTGTTGGAGTGGCTCAAGGTGTCGGCCCTGAGTTCAAGCTCCACTACTGCAAAAAAAAGAGTATTTATAGTGAAAAGTACGTTGGAGTTTGGTTTAAACTTACCTAAGGAAAAGTGTTCCCCTTTGTTCTGGGCAGCTGGTACATTCAATCAATCATCCTTTGAGACATTGTCAGCAAGCTAGAGATACCAATTCTAGTTGGCTTACTAAATTTGCTTCACTGTGACATAGATGTCTGTTGTCCTTGAGTGTCCCTTTAAATAAAGGATGGGTTTTATCAAGTGCTCTTTTAAACCAGGTGTTGGGGCTGGTGGACTGGCTCAAATGGTAGAGCACCTGCCTAGGCAACCCTAGGACTGCCAAAACCAAAAAAAAGAGGGGCAAGGGAAGCCTTATGTCTTTCCTTGGGATAAATACTCGACCTTTGCAAACACTTTTGTCATCAAAGGAGTCATTTAGGATAAAAGTCTTTCTTTAGGATATTCTGGCTCCGTCCCAGAGCTTAATAATCATTTGGCAGGCAGTCAAGGTCAGAGGGAGAGAGCTGGTTTCTTACTTACAGCTCAGGGAGGGAGGGAGTTTAAAGAAAAGAAAGAAAGTAGCCCCTGAGGACTTCTGATCAAGCTGTTCAGCTCTGAATTCCTGGCTTCTGCCTCTCATGCTTCATTTCCCCTGGTTTATCTTGCCTCAACCAAATGTCCAAAAAATATTAGAAAAGGTATGACAAACAATATGGCAATTCCTCAAAATATTAAAAATAGAACCACCATACGACCCAGCAATCCCACTTCTGGGCTTATAGGCAAAAGAATTAAAGTTGGGTCTCACATTTTGCAC